TCTCTCTCTGGCTCGCTCCTCGCTGCTTATCTGCTGCTCTCTCTCTCTCGCTCGCTCGCTACTCGGCTCTAGATGGATGGGGTTATTAAGCCTACATTCTTTTGTGTGACTGTACCTGCAGTTCCTCCCTGACTTCCATCACTCTCTCTCTCTTTCTCTCTGCCTGTCCTGTCTCTTCCTTGCCAAAGCTGAGCTTCGACTGACGTAGTCTTTTCATTATATCTGAGTCAGTGTAAAAAGAAAACAATACAATGTTATATCTTCAATGTTTACTCAAATTGAAATGAAAGAAAAGCATTACAACGTTTGTTAAAAGGTAATCTTCTGACATTGGATGAATGTAATTAACTTTAGCTCTCTAGCTAGTTTATTCAAGCACATTTAAACCAAGAGTAATAGCCTATAGCTGCAATATAAGTTAATGTGCATGTTGTCGGACGTCCACTGACTAACGTAGAGCGTTCACAACAGGATCTTCTGGTCATAGGATGTCCTGATGAACAGAAACACAAGCAGCCCGCTGGACTCAGATCTCTAGATACCTCATCACTCCTCCGCTGCTCCGATACAAGTCCGCGCTGCGGTGGTTTGTTGATACCACGTTGATACATGTCATCTTCTTCTGTTTGCTTTAATCGAGGCTACGTAGTTATGCAGCGCCCCCATCGGCAGTAATGGAAGTACTAACAAAGAACCCCGTTTAGTGCAGTTTATTTCACACGTTTTGTTATATACACAGCTCGGAAATTATTACCAAGGTCCGGACCTCGGTGACCTCAATGGTGGATACGGCCCTGGCTGCTGTAACAAAAACATTTCCCAACTTGGGATCAATAAAGTATATCTTATCTTATCTTATCTTAAGATGATCGATGGCTACTGCCATATTTGCTAAATGTGCCTCTGAAACCTTGACAAGTGCATGTTTCAGGCTTATCAATGAACAACAGGAGGGGTCACAGACATAAGACCAGCTGTTAAATAAAGCTCTCTGACCTTAGCTGTCATGTGGGTATATTAATGCTGCCCATTATGCACAAAAGCAATTTTCTCACCCATTATTAATTATATGTTTTACATTTGATAACCCCAATGTGTTTTCATATCCCCTAAACCTCCAGGGTGTACCAGTTTAATACTGGCAACTTCTAATTATGGGAAATACGAAAACGTCTTTAAAACTACAATTCCCAGTAGAGACGTGCCATAGAACATTTTGCGAAACACAATAGCCAGCATGTGTTCTGGGGGGTGGGGGGGGCTGGACCCGTTCAAGTCCAGTTTTGGATAGTCTGCCGTGGTTTCATTCCATTTCAAAGAGCTGTTTGACGCTCGGCCGTAACCTTGGCGCACTGCCACTCCAACATCCAATCACAGGGCTTGAAGACTAATCACGGGGTTTGTAAAGCAAAGCGGATGTTGTAGTCCCAAACGATAGCTGAGGATTCTGGGGTAGTGTAGTGTCTTGGGAAACTCTGTAGTGTCTAAATTCCGAAAAAAACTATTTGTTTCTCCGAATCGAAGGTTAAAAACACAAAAGCATTGTACACAATTTAAACCAATCAATATTGTGTAATTAACAAGGATAAACTGATGTTTTTTAGTGGATGAGTAATGCAGATATCACTGGATAATCATTTGACAGTGAGGGGAATACTTCCGGTTCTATTATGAAAACTTCGAGACCAGACTGTTTTTCACCCCGTGAGGGTTGACGCCAACTTTACATGGACGCTGCGGAAAGACGTAGTATATACACGTTCTCCTGGCGAGACCTTAAATCATCTTCATAATATCTATCAAACTATAGATCCTACACATCCACTGGACGTGGATTCTAAAAGTACAATATACACTTCTCGCTGGAAATCTAAACAAAAAGCATTTTAATGGCAAAACTATCCTACAATTTAGGATTTTCCAGAGAGGGTTATTAGTGAATATACGACCCTCCAGAGCGTTTGCAATCAACGGGAGCATGTTGTTTCTTACACGACCACTAGAGGTGCTACACTTTCAAACGTGACTATGGGTCGTAATAAGCTGCTGAACAATCGACCTATTTGGTCGTTTTTTGTAGGAGGACAGGCTGCTAAGAACACACTACCTGTCAGACTGCCAAACATAATCACTGCAAAAGAATGGCTTCCATATGTATCATTTATTTTTGCTCTTTCTGTTTTTGCTGTGAATGTCAAATATTTGAGTTTTTTCACAATCTTTGCAACTCAAGCAATTCCCTGTAGAAAGACAGAAATGATGACACAATCAAAAAGTTGACATTCAACCAATGGTGATGAAGGTTTGAAAATATATCTAAACCATGCTTTATAAAAATGTTTGCAACAAAAGGACAGAATCATAACTATTGTCCAATTTGTCCGGTTCCATGGTAAGTGGTTGTAAGAACGCGGCAGATATAACATATAATAAAGGCCATGGAAGTCATACAATACCAGCTGGCGATCAAGTCAGGACCCTTCCCTGTCTCTTTGAAAATCAGAAGGAAAAAAATACAAAGACCAAATGATATGTTGTAGTGCAGGCATTGATAGAAAGCAGACACAACAATATATTAACACAGACTCATGGGAAGCATTAATACATTTTATTTCAGGTAAAACAACATTAAACAACATTTACAGAAGGACATTACATCTTCCATAATAACAGTACATACGGGTCGTAACAAATAATGCAACAGCTATTCTACTGTATTCTATATTGTTCACTGGATGAAGTGACCGACAACATTTCTGTTTTCCAAACCACTAGTGAAAATCATCTATTTTCAGTGCAGCATACAAAAAGAAAACGCAAGAGAAGCTTCATTGAAAAAAGTTGCAAACACAGATTCATTGTTCAGCACAGCGAGGATGCACGTTGGAAGTGTTCCAAATGTTTTTCCTACCAAGACCACCCCCCCCCCCCCCCTCGAGATAAAGAAAGCCAAAAAACAGATATGATTTCTCTTTGATAGCATTTAGGGAAGGGGACCTTTGCAACCCTGTATACAAACAAAGTGGAAGCATCACGTTTTGCCTTCATTGAAGGTGTGTCACCAACTGATCCATTTCCACCTATGACCTTTCTAGAATAACATTTTTTCTGTCACAGTGCTATATGTGCAACTCCACCAGTCTTTCCTTGACTTTTTTTAATGAAATATATGACTAACATTTAAGTGCCTTTAGGAACTCTGCTCACACAGGACTAAAAAATATACGTTTTTGTACAAGACTAGTAAGAGTGTTGAGGGGCAAACAAAGCGATGTGTGCCACACCGAAAGGAGAATCATGCCAACATAATAATTCAGCTGCTAATACTGCCGTCGACCCCTTAAAGCCACACGAGGCTGGGCAATCTTAGCATAGCTCCATGGTATTAACCCTCTTCTGTCATGGCGCTTCGCTAGCTTTACCCACCCCTCTCGTCCCCTTTTTTTCTGCCGCACAATCACAGCCTGGCTGTGCTTACTGAACGTAAGAACCTGCGAGATATCTTCCAGTACAGCGTTTCTATGAGCTCTCCTCAATCTGTGGTAAAGGTTAGAATCGAGGGATGATATTTACATTTGTAAGATGGGCTGGTTTGCTTTGCGTCAGGAAAAGCAAGATAGTTATACAGTACACTGTATACATGTGTATTTATATATATATATATTTATCATTAAGGGTAAAGCAAGTGCATAAAAGGGACCATACAGGTTGGAATGTAGGGCAAACTGATTTTTATTTCAAGTGCATTTTCAAAACGCTGTTTGGGGAGTCAATGGTTTATTTTGCCTCAGAGCCACTACCCTCTCTGTGGAACTCAGTCAGAGCACTTCATGATCAGATTCTTTCTCGTCATTGCTTTCCCTCCTTTAAATGATAAGATCAGATATATATTTTTTGTTAATCTTAACTGAAGTTGTTATACTGTAAAAGTTATAGGAAAAGTCTACAGTCGTTGTTCTGTGCACAAATCCAATCCAAAGTTCAGCCAAAAATAATATTCAGCACAACAAGACGCTAGTCAAAGTCCTTTCCATATACTACAGAATTTATGTTTCATTTTTCCTCTCTTCAGTGAAGCTTCATGTACATCCTGATCTCATTGCTGAGTCAATGTTGTTTATGTTGATACACTACGTTTTCTACCTCAGCCAAACTTTACAAATGATATTTTTCGTGAATCTCCCAACTCATTGGAAGATTTAAAAAAACACAGAAACATATGAGCTATTTTTCTTGAGAGAAATGTGTGTCAACTAACTTCCACAAGTTAGGCTATCTCAGACTGTGGAAGCCCCATATTAGTTACAGCTGAACTTTGGAATGCATTTTGAAATATATCACTTCATAGCAGGTATGGAGAAGAGGGATGATTACATTACGCGAGTGTTATATAATGATAGACATGAAGAAAGCCCCCCCCTGTCCTTGAATGCAACAGACTGCAACGCAAACAGCAGCTGGGGGCTGCAGGGTTACACTGTACTGTAGCTGAAGGGTAATCTAGCAGGCAAGACATCTATATTATAAATGTGTGTGTGAGTGTGTTTGATAGGCCGTGGAGCAACATTATAACCATCAACAGTTCTCAATCGTTTATTTGCAGCCTCCTCTCTTCGGCGAATCAACAGTGCAGTGCCAATATTATTGTTAAAGAGGAAGCCATTGTATTGATAGTACTTCACAATTATCACCATACATCTAAGCTGTAATATTCAGATATTTTCACACCAAACATAAAAAGAAAGAGCATAAAATAGTATAAACTTCTTTGCAGATGATATCACGTTATACATCTGACTTTCGTATTGAGTCTTAAAAAGTTTGACAACGTTAACTAAGGGTAGGATGTTGAGGGGCACACATGTAAGAGCAGTCTCTGTATGTGGAGGAGGGATTGATCAACGTTAACCACCCCCTATATCTCACATACTGCACACACACTACCACACACTGAAACTCACTCATCCATACACTTGTTTAATTTGCCGGATAAAAATAGCTCCTGATTCATCTTAAAACGTATCAGGCCCGTTTGGCAGAATGCTTGGCCTCCACTATTGCTGCTGGCAGAATTCTTTAGGACCACTGATCCAAACTAATGTACAACACTTCCTTCAGTCCTCAACAATACAACCGACAAGTTTGAATCAAGCAGTTATCAGATCAACACTAGTCGAATAACTCGAAAGACGGACTAAGACTCATTCAATTTTAGTCAGATGAACTAAAAAAATCTGCAGTTATTGTCATAAATCTTCTGATCCTGATAGAATATTGCAGATATTTGGATGGTATTAGATAAAGTGAAAGGGAGGATTGTCCTGGGCTAAATCAACGACAGGCCACACAAACTATTGCCTTGGTATTTAATCCTTTGTACATTAGCTCATATGCATGGATGGAAGCACCAATGCTTAGCTATTGCCCATGTTTAATACACTAAAACACACACATACACAAACCACACACACACTTTCAGCTGTCCTCAGTAAGGTTATTGCACACTGGTTGGTGCTGTCCCTGTTTCTTATGTGTGCACCGTCAACATCTCCAGCAGAGACCTTCTACGTCAGAGGGGCTTCCAGCTGACACTGAACTCATGGGGGTCCATTTGAAACATTACATCAACTATTTTACCACAAGGGTTTGGCCATCATTCTAATGGATATGATAATATTTCACTCACAAACGTTTCTGTTGCATTGCAAATATTGAAAAGTCCACAAAAAGTATTAATAGCAAATATTAGAAACCCATGTCTACAACTATTTCGAAGTGCAAATGAGAAAATGTGAGGCTTGTTAGTTAATGGATGCACCAAATATGCAAATATATTTGATCTTTTTTGTATTTTGTACGTGTTGTGTGGCGCGTTGTATATGCAGATGAGTCTCTTTCCTTCAGCCCAGAGGCCTCACAGACTACACTGACATGATGTCACACATACAAATTGCTTTTCTTGCCTCTGGGAAAGTTGGACAGTTATGTAAACTGTTCGAAAACTCTTAATACAGAGAATAATTATTGATCTTGGTTGCAGTTTGAGGTATTCTGCAGTATCAACAGTTTACAGATGTATCTTTTATTATTATTTCCCATAAGGAAAACACCAATAATAAAATGGTAAGTAAAAACACAAACCCACGATTTACCACTAGCTTAAAGCTATCAGCCGTGTGTACCAGTCATTAAATGGAAGTACAGCCTTTAAACTAGATGCATATGAACCATTTCTTAACATGTAAAATAACGTTAGCTGTTCTCAGCAATTAAAGAAGCACCTCCAAAATGGCTGCCAGAGGATGTGTTACACCAGCAGAAACCCCTTATTATTATTATTACTATCGCTCTGCGGTTCCACACATTACAGTTACATCTGGTAAGAAAGAAATGGAAAACGAATTATTTCGTGGTCTGCATTGTTTTTGTTTACTAGAAGATGTTTGCTTGTATGCACGTCTCCTGTGTGTGTTTGTTGAGTTGTGTGTCTTGGCATGAGCAGTAAAGTGGTGAAAAGATGAAGCAATATTGAAATTGTCCATTACATAGTTTCTAGATGAGTATATCATACATAGAAATATACATTCTTAAATAGGAGGCTAGTTAAAAACACAAAACACACTATGTACCAATAGTAAAGTCCATTTGTTTATACTGTAACCGTGATATATGAGTGACTTTATAAAAAGTAAACAAAAATTCGTATGCAAATAATAGCCTGAAATCTTAGGTACCGTTCATAATGCTCACATGCATTCATATCTATACTCGATGCTTATGCTTTCTCGTGCACACGGCACTCGCGCACGCACACACACACCCACTCACACACATTGTGAAGGTAATAAATAAAGAGAACTGGGGCTCCTCCGCTCGTCTGGATGCTCCGTCTCAGCATCTCTGTCTTCAGCTTTCTTTACAGCAGCCGCCTGAAACACAGCAGAACAACAGTCTGTCAGGGTTAGGGTTCACCTACTGACACTACAACATACACACAATCACATCTCACATCCATGTGGCTGCTAGAAATCATCAGAAGTGAGTGTGTGGGTTTAAACTTGATAAGAATTGCTGTCATCATGTAGAGGTAATACCATGAGTGATTAACCATTTGATCTTTTTGTAGTGAAGTGATTTTCAGTTGTATATTATATGATGTAGTGAAACATTAGAGGATCACCATGCTGCTATCAGCATGTTCTCCGACGCTCTGACTCAAGCCGTGTTTCCTCTCAACACCAATTCATCAGTGGACTTTTTTTAGGCCACTGGTGTCTCTCATTACTGTCTTTGTTGAAACCATTTGAAGGAATAGTGTGGCATTTTAGGAAATAACAATTTTGCTGTCTTTCTGGACATTACATATGACTGACATAACTCTCATATCAGTCACTGCACTAAGAATGGACCAGCCTGAGGAGCTGGAGTCAGGACAGGATTAGCTTAGCTTAGTATACAGACGGAAGGTTTGGGAAACCAAGTAGCATTCTATCTCCAATGTGAAAACATACCAACACTTATAAAGCTCATTAATCAAACTGCACAAAAAAGGTAACTATGACAATTTATATTTAAAAAATAAGTTGTCTGCTGTAGACCAATTCTTAATGAGCAATGTAGTCGTGTTGTCTCATGCAGGTTGCCATGTTTGATGTCATCATGCCAATGCAAGGACTAGGTTAGCAGATCTGTGCCCAGCAACCAGATCTGGCAACCTTTATGTAGCCAGTGGCACTGCATTAGTGCTGGGCGGATGGATAAACTGGTAATCAATACATATTCCCAGCATGTATCTCATGCAGCCACACACTGTTCCTGGCTTTAGTCACCTACAAAAGTCCAACGTCCAACTAAAACCACAACACGTCTGCTAACAGAGTAAAAAGTCCCATAACAACAACTTTAGTCATATTTGAAGGGTAAGCTATGAAGAGATAGGAGGAACACTAAAGACAAGGATAGAGTGAAGGATCGAAAAGGGGGAAAAAGCTGAAATAGAAAGAGTACAGAGTGCTGTAGAAAAGGGATGAGAAGAGAGGAGAAGAGGAAGAGGGAGCAGAGAAGGGTTAGGAGGAGTAAAGGGTGAGGAAGAGGAGGGAGCTGTGAACGTATTAATAATTCATTGCCTGTCTCAAGTCCTATACTCTTCACCTCCTCCTAACCAACTCCGTCCTCACTCTCTGTGTTGTAGAGAGTTCCCAGTGGAAGCCAGGAAATCTACACTATTAAAAGTGTCTTTACTGTAGGGTATTTTTATTATATGTACAGCACTTTGGATCGACCAAAAATTGTTTAAAGATGTGCTATATAAATAAAACTTGATTTGATTTGATTTGATTTGATACACTGCTGGATGAGATATGTGTTCATCCTGACTCTATAAGCATAGACATCTTCCTATGTTCATCATAACCATGTGCTTCTTGGTTGAACTTATATGAAGGTGCTTTTAAATGGTGAGTACAATATAAAAGCAGTATCATATGTCTCATTTGTGTAGGTGCAAGTGTCGGGGGGGCAGGGCTGGATTAACTCTTAACAGCCCGGGGAAAACATAAGCTGCAGCTACAGTACGTGTTGAGCCGGCTGGTTGGAATTGAATAAAACACAATTATTTAGGAATACGTACCACGCACTGTAAGAATACGTACCACGCACTGTAAGAATACGTACCACGCACTGTAAGAATACGTACCACGCACTGTAAGAATACGTACCACGCACTGTAAGAATACGTACCACGCATAAGAATACGTACCACGCACTGTAAGAATACGTATCACACACTGTAAGAATACGTACCACGCACTGTAAGAATACGTACCACGCACTGTAAGAATACGTATCACGCACTGTAAGAATACGTACCACGCACTGTAAGAATACGTACCACGCACTGTAAGAATACGTACCACGCACTGTAAGAATACGTACCACGCACTGTAAGAATACGTATCACGCACTGTAAGAATACGTACCACGCACTGTAAGAATACGTACCACGCACTGTAAGAATACGTACCACGCACTGTAAGAACTTTAAACTGAAAAATGAATGGTGTAAAACCTACATTCACACGTGTCAACAGGAGCAACTTCAATGTCCTCAACAATACCCCATTACTAGACAATGCTATAATACAAGGAATGGCCATGTTTCTGATTGGTCGATTTGGACATTCAGCGGTCTGCTCTTTCTCAACAGCAGATCCATGCCAAGGATGTTCTGATAGAGGTGCATTCGTATCAATCAGCAAAAAGAATACAATGCACTTGTTCCACTTGATCCCTAGATGCAGAAGGACAGCACTAACTTAAAGTTAACATCTAATGCGTCAAGGTCACTGAAGCCGTGTAGCTGTGTGTGTGTGAGATACAGAGAGGTGTGTGTGAGTGTCATCACTCCTCACTTCACTGTCAAACACTGTTGTACACAAACAAGGGATTCATTGTTTAAAGGGATCTGATGTAGTAAGAACAGATGTAGGCTTCCGCTCTCCCGGGATCAAAGAGCACCAAGTAGGTGTGTGTGTGTGTGTGTGTGTGTGTGTGTGTGTGTGTGTGTGTGTGTGTGTGTGTGTGTGTGTGTGTGTGTGTGTGTGTGTGTGTGTGTGTGTGTGTGTGTGTGTGTGTGTGTGTGTGTGTGTGTGTGTGTGTGTGTGTGTGTGTGTGTGTGTGTGTGTGTGTTTCCAGTTGGGAAGCAGATGGAGCCGGTGGGTGGGTTTTGTATGGAGGATTTAGCAGGCGTGGCCAGCTGCTTTCTGTCCTTTAATAGAGATAGTCTCACCCCCCTCCCCCCAAAAAATGAAATCCTAAAACGACTGTGTGTTGGGACAGACTAATACACAACAATAGAGAGGGGGCTAAGTGGGATAGAGGGGGAAATGCGGAGTGAAACAAAAAGACTAACACAAGCAACACTACAATGATTAGCATTTTTGAAACCTGAAAGAGAGCAATATTTTTGGATAAAACTGATATCCATCATTTAATCAACACTCACAAACCTGTTAGAGTACCCCCCAAAAAACACAGACTTCAAGTCAAGACTTTTTTTCCAGAACTCTTGTTCTGCTGTGTGCTTTTGTAGAGTTTTCCATATTTCTGAAGTGTTTATAGGCTATGATTAAGAGAAATAGCAGTTGATTGAGGAGCTAATACGGCTTAAAGAAAGACCTGAGACTACTACACAGAGCTGTTCGGGTTTCCTGAATATTAGCCTACATGGTAGCACAACACAGTTTCACGGCATTTCATGTTATAGTCACGAAATTAATCTATTGATTCGTGTTCACCAACACGATTTCGCCATTTTTTTCGTGTCACACAGAACGATTTTAAAAGCAATGTAAATAATAACAAATTAGAAGGAAAAAGACATTTAAAAAAATACAGATTTAAGTATTCTGACACAGAACGATTTTAGAAGCAATGTATTTATATTGGTAGTATGTTTCGTGCCTGCACCAAATAATAACAAATTAGAAGGAAAAAAAGATGACATAAAATACAGATTTCAGTATTCTGAGGCTCTGAGACATTTCTTTTCCTCACTGACGGCAAAAAAACTCTGACATTATACAATTTAAAATAAAAGGGATAGGGTTAGGCTTAGGGTAAGATATTGAGTAAGAACATGTTTTTATGAACCACACAGCTTCTGGTCTTCCAAGACCCGACCGGACAAAAAGACGAAACATACTACCAATAGAAATACATTGCATTTAAAATCGTTCTGTGTGACACGAAAAAAATTAGAAAATCGTGTTGGTGAATACGAATCAATAGATTAAATTAATTTCGTGACTAATAACACGAAATGCCGTGAGACTGGGTTGGGTAGCATGCTAACATGCTATATTACAGTAGTGAACATGATATACATTGTATCTTCTCAACATCAGCATGTTAGCATTGTCATTGAGAGCATGTTAGCATTGTGATGGGTTAACTGTCACAGAGCTGCTAGCAGGACTGCAGATGCTCTCGGTGTATCTGACCAGAATCTGAAAGGCCTTAAGCTCCAAACTCTGTCCTGAGCCAAGCAGATTACAGCATCTTTTAAAGACAATATCAACTGCAAAGCCAGATACATTTCTGAGCTTTTGCAGATTATAATGTTGCTAAAAGACACTCACTGCAGCATTAACCCACACTCTGAACCCTTTAAAAACATGTTGGTAATGTGACGTCCAGTAAAATAGAAGAGGATGTAATAAAGTAAAACTCTAGATGTTGACATGTGACATGACCGTTCATGGCACCAAACTTCTTTTGTAAAGCTAAAGAACAATGAAAGGATGGTTTCTGCTGATACCATATAGACCAAATAACACCTTGACCCATGAACCATGTCCGAGACCCTTCTCCTCCTCTACCTGTTCTTCCATCTTCTATTATCTATTACTTATAGCATCAATGCCCTGTCTAATGAGCTCCAGCAGGCCAGGGAGCTACAGAAAGAGTCAGAGAACTGTCAGTATCAGTTGTTACAGGGCTGGACAGGCTGAGGCTGTTCTCTCACATAGCCAGAACCTCATCCTGAAACTAAAGTACCCGCTCTGTGAGAGTGTGGTGCATGGCTCTAAACTGTTACTAAAACCAGCTTGACTGAATCAGACTGACAGACCCCACCCCCCCCTGCCACCCATGCCCCTGATGACCGGGGGTCACGACACCTGACCCCCCCACTGCAGGGAGCTGCTGTTATGTCTGATCCTGTTTAATGAACTGAGTCCCACTGAGCTAAGAGGGTGCTGATGCTTTAATAAGGTGCTCTGTGTGTGTGTGTGTGTGTGTGTGTGTGTGTGTGTGTGTGTGTGTGTGTGTGTGTGCGTGTGTGTGTGTGTGTGTGTGTGTGTGTCCTGAATCTCTACAGTATACTATAATTAACAGACGAAAGGAGACTTAATGCTACAGTAAATAGTAG